GGCATTGAATGTGAATACATAAAGGTATTTCCTCACAACCCTGTCCTCTCTGACCACTTTTTGATTACCTTCAGAATTACTTTAACAGAGTTCTCCTCCCCCAAATAAGATTTCTCTTTAGCAGATCATTGTCAGATAGTGCAGTTATACATTTTAAAGAATCGTTTCACCTTCTCTCTCCTCTGTGTCCCTAAGCAGTGCTGCAGAGGGCAAAAGTTTAGTTTATTCCCCTTTACAGGTTGATGACTTTGTTGACAGGGTTGCTAGTTCTCTGCATACTGCCTTAGACAAAGTAGCCCCTTTGAAAAAACCTTTAAAAATAGAAAGCTGGCCCCCTGGTTTAATGCAGGCCCGCACACTTTGAAGTAAAATACTAGGAACCTGCAGAGAAAATGACGCTCTATATCTATAAAGGAATCCTACCTAGTCTGGAAAAACAGTTTACTTCTTTACAACAGAAATCTTTGTAAAGAGCAGCATATTTCTCCTCATTAACAGAGGAGAATAAGAATAATCCTAGATTTCTTTATAATACTGTTGCCAAACTCATCCATAGCCATAGCTCTGTTAAATTGCCCCTGCTTTTAGCAATAATCATTTTTTGGGATTTTTTGTGAACAAGATTGATTCTACAGTATTAAAAATAAGATAATTAGCATCCCTCTAAATATGATTAGTTTATCTCTGAAGGGGGAGGCAGCATCTGAGGAAACTATAGAATCTAAACTTGGTATAGAATGATTTGATCCAGTTGAACATTCAGAGGTAGTAAAACTATTATCCTCATCTAAGCTTCATTCTATCTCTATTCTCCCATTCTGCAGTATTTGTTAGTTTAATCTCTAATGTTATGTCTTGCTGCTTTTTCTGATCTTGGTAGCTTCATCTACTCTGATCCTGTTTGGCTGTAACATCATCCTGGAGAGGAAAGTCAGCTGTGCTGCTGCCATCAACGCATTTGTTTATAGATGTTAGTATTTTGCCCATTTTTCAGTGGAGTCTTGTTTCTCTGACTGTGACTAACTATATGTGCACTCTTTTAATCCCTGGCATAGGAGCTGGCTCAGAAGTTGTATGCCTGGCTGTGTGTTTGCTGGACGGGGCCACCTGAGGAGCAGATTATATCTCTGCTTCTTTTCCTATGCCTGCTTTTGTCTTCTTGAACCCCAGTTGGGCTCAGCAGATGGCCTCTCACACAGAGTCTGGTTCTGCTGGAGGTTTCTTCCTGTTAAAAGGGAGTTTTCCTCTCCACTTCACTACAAGCATGCTTGGTGTGAGGGACATCATGGTTAACAGTTACAGTATGTAGCAGTTTATCACCTAATATGAATTGTCCAAATATAAGTGAAAACATGCTACAAATTGCTCAACAACTGTAAAAAAGGCTTTGATTGCTGTAAAGGAAAAAATGCTTATGAAAATAATGAGAAATATACAGATAATTTCCTACAGGTAATTATTTATAAATTGTGGATTAGAAAGAGATTTTTTTTTCTTCAGATTACTAGTCTTTATCTACTTAGGCACACTAGTCTTATTTTCCAATACATTTCTACAAACAACTTTATAGCTGAGGGAAGGTAATTTCTGATTTAAATCTACATTGGGAGTGAATGATTTTAAGTTTAACTGTTGGACCAAAAATTGGAAAATTCCATTTGTTCTTTACCTGACTCATTCATTAACATTCACCCAAATGAAACATATTTGTCCATGTTTTTTTTTTTGTCTTGGCTCTGTGGCAGACATGCAGCCAGCTATAATAAGCATCCCCAGCAGTATCTTCCTCCACCCACCCTCCACCACCTATGACCCTTAAAGTGATTATACAGGGAGTAAAAAAGAAAATAATGGGAATGAATAATAGCATGTAATATTGCAAGAAAGGCATAAAACTGTATTATGTATTATATGAGTAGGATGTTTATTTTTTTTTTCAAATTACAAACTAAATGAATCACAACATGGTTATCATTTTCTATTAATAGTAGATTATAGTCCACTATGACACCATAGCTAAATTGCCTTTAGCTGTATTTGTGCACTTCACTATTGTTTTTCCAGGTTGCCTCAGTGTTGCCCTGTGATGGAATTACACCCTCTCCAAGCTTTGGCCCTAGTATACCCCCCTATAGAACTGCATTATAACCTAACCAGGGGATTAACAAGGTTTAGGACCAGCTTGAAATATTTGTGCTTATTAGCCTGTAACTGTTGAGGTCCTTTGGGTGTTTTATTATGTCTTTACATGATAAAAACCCAGTTGACGTTTTTTTGTGATTAAGTTGTGTTTAATACTTTAGAACAATAGTGTCTGCATGACTGAAGCAGCTATAAAATATAAACTGGAGACACACAGAAAAAACATGGATTGTATATCAACACATTCCACATTGTTAGTTGTCTGTTCTGAAGTCTCAGATTATTGTTCTGAGAAAGAAGGAAACCCCTGGTGAGTCGAAACCAACTCTCTGGTAAAAGCTTCAACACACAACATCATAAAGAGGGAAGGCTCACGGTGTCCTATATTGCAGCAGCTTTCATTATCCGCCTGGACAGATTTTTTTTTTTTTCATTTCCAATTGGACGTCAGCCAGTCCTAAGGATTTCTTCAATACTGACATGACATTGTCCAGAAGAGAGGGCATATTCTCTGATAAGGTATATAGCTAACCTTACAGTTCAGGAAAGCTTTTTTACTTCCTAATGCTAGTGTGAAAAGGGAGCATTTTAAATGCCATGTTTACACAACTAAGTTATGGTTCAAACTTTTGCAAGATGATTTTTTATCTTAAGACAGCAGATTTGAAAGCAAGTTTCAAATCGTAAAATAATGAAAAAATCCGGGCTATTTTCATATAGACAGAAAAAAATAAAGCTGAATGCCCTGTATGTGCTAAGCCTGTAGAGTATGACTTAGTGGTGATAAATTTAAGTGCAGGGAGTGTTGTACTGAAACTCTCTCCAGGGGAATTACAACATTTCTATCTTCTAGTTTTATATATATATATATATATATATATATATATATATATATATATATATATATATATATATATATATATATATACTGTATATACACACACACAAATACGACAGAAAAAAATATACTGCAATCAGATTAAATTTCTCACTGAATACAAGGGAGGCTAAAAATATGATAAATCATGCATTGTCAAACCTCACAAATGTAGTCATTAACCTGCATTAAATATGGGTAAAATGTACCTGATTTCAGCTATTTATTCTGATTTCCCCTCCATTCTGGAGTAGCAGGAGGTTGCCTGTCAGCCTTTATAAGAAATCCTTGTTTAGGTTTGAACCTCGGTCTAGGTAAGCAGCGAGAATGTAGAGCCCTGATTGGATAACACACCAAAAAAACGTCACTCCCAGAGAGGCTCAACCTCTTAGGGGCTGTGTTGGATCTGCTGCAGATCCGTCGGACAGCCGGAGAAGGCTGGTAGGTTCAATTCTATTGCTGAACTCTTGTCTCTTCATTGTCACGTCCTTTGAAGGACCAAATTCAGTTAAGCGGGTCCTATGAAAGATGCAGCAGCTAAAAACAAACACACAAACAAACACACTATGGATCAGGGATGGGTTGTAAACTGGCTGCAAGATGCTGATTGGCAAAAATATTTAAGGACTTATGACTGACAGTGCCAGACAGTGAGGAGGAAAAAGTTATCATTCACCGAGAACAGTCCTCTTGTGGTGAACCTTTATTATTTCAGAGCACTTCACAACAGCTGTTTTCATCCATTGTAGTGATATTTTCAAATTCAATTAAATGCAATAATGTCTATGGTATTTATGTTGTGTGTTAGCTTTACCAAGCTAGAATACTGAAAGTACAGAGAAATGCTCCTGTGGAGTGATTCGCCAAATGAAGCCTACAGGAAACAGCACTAAACCACCTTCTCTGTATGAATCTGTGAGTGATTAGTACTGGGTTCTATTAGTGGTAGGTCGGTCAGTCGGTCAGTCCCTGACTGACTGACTTATTTGGAATCTTAATGGGAGTGAGGCCGTACTTTATGCCTATTTGTCCTTTAAAAGCAAACTGTAATTGCATGAGCTGAATAATTAAGGGAAAAAATCTTTTGAACAAATGATTTCATTAAACTAGTTTAAGTGATTCAGTTCCTGTGATGGACTGAGATCTTTCCAGGGTTTACTCCACCTCTCATGCAATCAGTACTGAAAACAGGCACTGTACCAACCAAAGCCTGCAAACTCCAGCCCTCCGACATAACTATAGTCAATGATGCTTGAACACTTTCCACTGTTAAGTAATTAAGTCTCTTTCTGAAGCTGCCATACCAAATGTAACTTTCCTGGAACGTATTGATCCTTTCATATCTTTTTATCTTCTTTCATATCATATCACTTATCATTTAGTGGCTGGCTAGCTCAAGTGGTAAGTCACCCGTCCTGCAAACACGGTTCATATCCCAGCTGGGACAAATGAGCTGCCAGTGTGGGACCTTAGGCAAGACCCTTCACACTAATTCCTGCTTTGGGGAGTGGCAGCCTAGTGGTTAGGACATTGCGCTTGGAATTCCTGAGGTTCCGCGTTCAAGCTGGACTGCCGCTCTGGGTCCCTGAGCAACACACTTCTCACTGGGCACCACACAATGGCAGCCCACTGCTCCCCAAGGGGATGGGTTAAATGCAGAGAGTTAATTTCGTTGCTCTGTACTTGTGACAGTGTAATGACAATAAAATGCTGGAGAAAAGAAATACATTTTTTTCTTGTGTCTTAGACTCCTTTTGGCTCCCCCCTCATGTCTGTGCTCTTCCCAGGTATTCTCTCCATCCTTTCTAGTTTATCTCAACTTCTGTCTGCCTCGCAGAGATTTGTTATCTGATATATTTTGGACCATTGCCTTGTTTTTTACAACCCTTTCAGAAGCACTGCCCATTCTTTTCTTGAAACCCATTTAAGCTCCTGCAATAAAGCTCAAGTCTGCATCTGAGATCCAACTCTGAAGCCTTGTCAGATTCTTTTATTGGGTGCAAAAATACATCAGTTTTCATGACAGACATTTGCAAAACTTAATGTGGGTAAAGTTTGCAGAAAACAAACACATTTCGAGCTTTTCTCCACTGTCAAGAAGTTGTGCTACAAAAGCTGACAGAAAATCTGAAGTGTCCACTTGCAAAAAAAAAAGCACATATGGTTCTCACAAAAGGCCATTCGCCAGTCAAACAGAGCTTTTGGAGTGTTCTTGCTTCTTTGTATAATTTGCAGCTTAAAAATGATGTGGAGATAGAACAAGAAAATACACTTTTAAACAGGACATAAATTTCTTAGTTTTACAATAAAACATTGCCAGCATAGACATTCATAAGACAGTGTTCACAAAATGTCGAATCATTGCAGTAGACATTTGGGGTTTGGTGCTAACCAGTTGACTGCTGCTTCATTTCTTTTTGGAAATTTACAGTCAGACTAAAACTTTAAAATTAATATTTATCTGTAAACTCCAACATAAGTAAAAATAACATTTTCTTTTTGGTTTCCATTGGGAGCTGCACTGATTTATTGGGCAGAGATCAAAATTGAGCTAATTCTTATTTTCTGTAACTTTAATTAGTGTTTAGCATTACAGAAACTGGACATTTGATTTTCTTTGTGTTACAGTATATAAAATTAACTTTTGCTCCTAGTTGAATGCATCAAAACTAAGTTCTAAGTATTATCTTCCTTTATAAAACATTGAAGTGTGTCATTTAAGACACTTTTTTAGATTTACTTAAAAAAATTCAGTCTATTCTGATATTCTTTGCAAAACCACTCCAAGTAATTTCTTCATTTTTCATTTGATTTATACCTACAACCTTGATTTAAAAAAAAAAAAAAAAAGAAAAGAAAAACATGTGGCACCTTTTAATCTTCTCTGTTAAAATCCTTCAAATAAAAACCAGGATTTATCAAATTGGTGAGTCAGAGCTCAAACAAAACCCCAGTCAAAAGCCTGATGCAGCTCTAGTTTTATGATGATGTTAGTCATTGGGAAACCAATTAAAATGTTCTTATAAGACTGTCCATTTGAAAACTAACAAACTTTAGACTGCAAAACCATTCATTTTAATCATCATTAATGGCAAAATACATCCAATACACTCCATACTGTTCAAAAATATATAATAATGGATCAAAAACTTTATACCGGTCCAGAGTGAGACATTTAGGAGCAGGCTCCATGTTCTAATAACATTCATAATGTCTGTAGAGGGCTGTTCCCATATGACTTTGCTTCTACATTTCAGTGTTTTATAATTAATTAATGAAACACATTTAGAAACAGCAGAAAATCAGGGACACTCAATGCTGCATTCATTCATAAACATGGATAATTACATCCAACATGAGGGGTTAGGGATTGTCCTTGAGGGTCAGACCAAGTCCCTGCCCTCGCCGAGGACTCAGCTGGCGTCCAGAGCTCTGTCGTTTAGCCAGGACTGGGCAGCTGTCCGACATTGCTGTTAACCTGGGCAGAGCCAGCCATTTCAGAAAGCTGTTTGGGAGCATGGCAGCTGCTCAAAGGGCAATGAGGTATTAAGCATAGATTTGCAAGAATGAAAATGTCCTCCCTCTCTCTTTTATAAGCCTCTGGTCTGTTTTACACGCAAGACAAGCCATAAGCACAGGAACATACAAACACATGGTCTTACATAATGTTGGCAGCACGCTGCATTGCCCTGTTTTGACGCAGCTTACTCACTGTGCATGTTGACAGGAAGCATGCACTGCTCAGACTCATGCATATTATTTTGGACAGTTGTCGCGTTCAAACTCATTAGCATCCACCTCATCTTTCTTCCATGTCTTGTTGCTCCTCAAACAGCTAAAAAAGCTCAGAGGATGTGGTGCTCAACCACAGTTTTCTGTCTCACATCAAAGCGTTTTTGAACTCAAATTCAACAAGGAAAACAATGCAGTGTTGGCAAAAAATAAGAAATAGAACCACTATTAGATGTCCTCAAAGACTTGTCAAAAGACAAGTAAGCTTGTGAATGGAAAATAAAGAAACAAGACTACAGCAGGTCATACCTTCAAAGCTGACAAAAAAAAAATAAAAATTGTGTCTTCCTCTTCAGAGAGAACCATTGAAGTCTCCTGGAATGTATTCAGGGTTCAAACTTGACAGACACTTAATCTTTTAAATCAAATAAACACCAAGCCTCATAGACTATGGTGGATACTTCAATACTACCCTTTTCTTTAGGGTTTGACAAAAAAAATATTTTTCCAAGCAGGGCTCCTTAAATTGCGTACCTTAGGAATCAAAAGCCCGATCTTCACAGATTTCGAGAGCTGCTTTACTTGCTCCACCAAACACTTCGACATTGGCGTCAATCCAAGGAACCACATTCCCGGGCATGTAGGCAGAACAATTAGCCAAACCAATGATGTCCACAGGCCGTAGTACTCTGTCCCACATGTTAAACTGGCTTAGCTCACCCACAAAGGCTTGGGTTGCATCAAAACGCCCTCCAACGATGTCCTTATTTGAAAGACAGAACATAATGTTGTTAATTTTTAAAGGAAAATGTCCTACATACAACTTCAGATTTGTAACCCCACTGAATATCTTTTCTCATGAAATCTGTTCATTTAAGCGCTAGTTCTCTTGACAAACTCTTTTCCTGTGATTAATTGTTTTACAGTGTGCTCTGTATAGTATATCTGCTAGATCTATTCAGAGTAGAGGTGAAACACCTTGAGTTAATTAACATTTGATTAACAACATAAATAATGAGGTATAAAAAGGAAAAAGAAAAACAAAACACAGACCAATTCCTTATGCCATATGTGATGACCCCAAAGGCAAAGATATTTTATGCTCAAGAGTAGATTTTAACCATGATTTAGTAAACAACTAATATGATTTTCAATGATATTTAATAAACTTTTTCAAGTCAGTCTGATTTGTTTGCATAAGAAGTGTATTCGGTATAAAATTTTTAAATGTTGAGAAATGTCCAATCTTCAGCAATCTGCAGCAAACCCCAATTGAGTTTATAAAAAGGAAAGCAGTATACATCTCCTTACTCTCTCAAATGGTTGCTATATAAAATATAGAGCTCTTAATAGACTTTATTGACATATTTCTTTCAATTTCCTTAAGACGTGAATGGAGCGTCCATGAAGTTCAATGGCAGCTTGCTGTGATATTTCCCATGGGTTTAAGAGCAACTTACATGTAGATGAATGATATTATTCTGAGGCCACAATAGCGTGAGAAGAGCCTCAGTATCTCCTCCCCTTTGCCTCTGGTAAACCCCCCCCAACACTCACACACATATACTTGATATTTTCAGTATATCCGTTTAGCCTCACCTGTTCCTGGCCCAGGATGATTACCCCACCAGGTTTAATTGGGTGCCATGGGGCCAGGTTGTCTCCAGTGCCGAGTCGCTCGCCATCCTGATAAGCCTCCCAGAAGCCGTCTCTGGTTGTCCAGGTGATGCAGATGTGGTGCCAGCGCCCATCGCTCACTGAGAGAGGGAGCTGGGCCACCTGTGTGGAAGTGAAAAGCAGATAAAGGCTGAGATAAATCACAGGTCAAAGAGAGAAGGTGATTGGGGGAGGATACAGGAAACAGGATGGGTCGAGAAAAGGCAGTAGTAAAAACGTGGCATGTTAGAAACAAGGACAGCAATTAGAAGGGTTAGAGCATCAAAGAGACAGCTCTCTACTGAGACTTTTCTGAGCAAGAGAGATATTTAAATTTTAGATTACCTAGGTGACATCAAGGGATAGAGCATCTTTCAAAGCAATCAGATTGCTAACAGCAAAACTCTGTCCTCTTATGGGTTTCTGCTTTGTTCATAGATAAAAGAAAAACAACCTGTTATTCTACCTCCCAATGACATCATTTTCCTTTGAGGATTCGGCACCAAGCACGAGATCGTGTATGTGCACTGTAACTCATTAGCTTTTTTATTATAGGCCTAAAGGACTGATTCACACTCATATATCTCACAGCATGTGTAGCTCTGGATGCAAACAGGCCTGAGAAAATGGAAGCCATTGAAAATAGGATTCAAGTCACTTGCAATTACAAAGCCAACTGACCTCATTACATTGACGCCAGGTGGTGTTCTTTCGTTAGTGCGACTACGGGGAATTCTTAAATTGTTGTTTTAAAGTGGCTGTCGTTCAAGACAAGCTAAGATTTTGGATACCAAACTTGAAGATAAATTGTAGTCAAATATTTCACATTACTGTAATACCATTGCAATGATGCATTTCTTTCAAAGGACATACTATGACTCATTGATGTTTGTTAAGTGGCGAAAGTAGTTGCACTTTCAAGATATACTACATATATAATTTTTTGGGAATTAATTTATTAATACTTCTATTTGTATATTATCATTCTATTACAACATTTTGTAGTTGAAACCTTAACAATTACATTGGCCATAGGCTACATCTAAATAATGAGAATGTTTGGGAAGTTAGCATCAGCTCTATTTGCCATATTTGAGGAACTTATAAGTTCATTTAACCTCTATGTCCCTCTATATTCTCATTTTAAGTTTTGAGGTATTTTTATGTTGTTTACTCTGTTTCATTTGCACAACACTACTGTGCCTGTTTGGAGCAAAAACTGCAGCAAATGACTGAGAGCATCACATATGGCCAGAAAAGCACAAAAAATACATGTAAAAGCAAAATGTCGCAATTGAAAAACACGAATGATGTACACTCCTAACATACACAAAAAAATCCAGAATTTACCCATTGTGGGAAAATTAAGGGATTTGATATTCTATTCTATTCTAAAATCTAATGCAACACACAATACTGACAAATAAAAATACTGCATTTACAGAAAATAGCAAGGGCAAAATGAAACCTGCTGCACCTATGAAACGCAAGTTGCAAAGCTAGCATGTAATGCAGTTGCAAATTAGCTTTAAAGAAGTGCATCAGACCCCTAGGGGAGACCACAAAGTCAGGTGGGACCTCATCCTCAGTAAAGACCAGCATGCTAATATTTTCCATGTGAATATTGTGTGATGTTGTCGTAAAATGTTGTGTAAGTGACCAAAGGGACCATTGTTTTCTTATAAACATCATGTTCTTGTCTTAGCTGTGGGTCGTGTCCCACCTGTTTTGGTTGGTTTTGCTAAAAAAATTTACATTTATTCTTTATCCAAATGGCAGATATTACTGGAAATCACACAAAATATCTGTACAATGCTACATCTTTACAGAAAAAAAAAGAAAATCCGCCTTCAGTAAATAAAATGATTTCTGAAGTTATTAATACCATTTTTATTTTGGTCAACTTTTAAGAAACTAATTGTTGTGAAAGGGATTATTGAATGTACATTTCAAAAACATTTACATGTGGCTGGACATACTAGGTACTTCTGTTGGTGATGCTCACCATCCAATGCATGGGAGGTTAAACAAGATACATTTTCTATTGGAATCATTGGTGAATCATAGATTGGTCAAACTGGATATGACAGGTAAGTTAATAGAGTCAAATGATACTCAGCGCTTTCCACACAAATACATGGCAAACTTGACAATGTAAAGTGAAGTTTGAGAGTCTCTCTGTTTTCCCTTTGGGATTAATACAGTATTTTTGAATTGAATTTTCACAAGCAAAACAGGTCAGGGGAACTCAACACAGAAACCAATGATGGGCATGCAGTTTCTAGACATGGTAACTTGGCCAAGATCCACAGCTGACAGCCAGTTTTATAGTAAAATTGAACAAACCCTACCACTCTGTGTCATCCTGTCAGTATGACTGCTTGGTCTGATGCAAAATGTTTTCAAATCATTACTTTCTAAAACCACTGCATACACCGGAGCTAGAATATGACTGATGGGTAGCACAAACAAATAAAGACAAGACAATTTTTAACCCCCCTAGTAAATATGCTACTGTATATTCTGTTGCCAGAGACAATAAACATGCTCAGTTTGCTTGGACTTTAATATGAACTTTGTGGTTTGGTCAGATAAGACAAAGGTTGAGTTTTCAGGCAACAAATACACTGGGTCGGTTTAGCTTAAAGCAAAAAAAAAAGAAAAAGAAACAGCTCATGCCCTCTCTGATGCATAGTGAAGGATCTTTAATGTTTTGGCCCTTCTAAAAGTCCCAGAAACCTTTTTTATTTTGGATTGTGGAATCATGGAGCATCTGGAATATTGTACTCTCTACCTACAGCAATTTGGATAATATAGAAAAATCCGGTAAATTGACATGATCACAGATGCCTTTCTCTGGATCTTTCAATCTTAAGAAAGGTTTTAGAAGACTATTAAATTAGACCCCTATAACAAAATGGGTTAGGCAGCAGAGTTTCAATGTTTCGATGTTTGATTAACAAACGATTTTTGTCTCAATCTTAAAATATTTTTGAGTAAGTTGAAGAATGATTGAATCTAGGTCATATACTGCAAGCAGTGACGTCAACAGTATGCATCAGCCACAGAGATTTTTGAAAATCGTTATATTTTCTGGAGGCTTTCTTTAATTTTTATACTTTAGAAAACATTTTCAGAAAAAAAAAAACTAAAAACAAACAAAAAACAAGGTTAAACAGGTTATACAAGTTTAACAAGGTGGCGGCCTAGTGGTTAGGGAATAGAGCGTGGAATCCTGAGGTTCTGAGTTCGAACCCCACTCCCACGGACTGCCACTCCAGACCTTTAACCCCAATTGCTCCCTGGGCGCCCTATGATGGCAGCCCTACTACATCCCAATAGGATCAACATCAATAAAGTTCAATTAAAACACACACACACACACACACACACACATATATATATATATATATATATATATATATATATATATATTATAGAGATTTTAGCTTCAGTCTAGACATGCAAAATGTGTAACATGTTTTGGGTTAATAAGTTAGTGTTTGTTCCGTGCAGGGCTGGTGGAACCCAGCACATTTAAAGTATGTAAAAAGCATTATTAGGGAGATTAACAATCCCTTTTTGCAAAGAGACATAAAAACTTAAAGAAGGGGCTGTGTAAAAAGTCAGTCTCCCTTCTTGAAAGGAAACAGATGGAAATCTAACACGACAACTTCTTCTTCCTATTTAGTATGCTACTGCACAAACAGCATAAGCAATGCACACTGCTGGACCATGTTACCACAGTGCGTAAGTTCAATGCATAGACGTGCTGCTGCTCATTCGGTCATCATATGCACAAAACCTATTTTTCCCCTTTTCCCCACATGAAGCTTTAACATACAACAGCATCTTGTCTGTATTTCACTTCATATTTTTCATCTCTATCAACCTCCAAGGCACTGCAGCTTCTCAGTTTCTTACCCCTTTCTACTTTTCTCCAATCACACGCTTATCCCTTCTACCATCTCTCTCTGATCCAACTGACGTGGAGGCATGTATAATGCATAGTGAGAAGAAAACTGTGGGGAGACTTGCCTGTGCCAATAACACCAAGTGTAAACAAGAGAGGTTAGGAAAACCACCATTTTGTATAAATGTAACCAGGAATCTGAGTCTGGGGTTTCCAACTGAGCCACCATGAATACAACTGAATTCATTGTTGCAGTTATATCACTGAAACAATGAAAGCACTTAACTCCAAATGTCAGAAATTATGCATGTCCTTTGTTCAACCGTCGCTGGTGCTGTGTTAATTGAAATTGCACTCTCTGTAAGCTTAGAGTAGAGGATGAAATCCAAATATAAGGCCATCAAATGAGCACACACAGCAGCTCTAATTCTCTAATGAACACAGTTATCTGTGGGTTTGTGTGGAATGTGGGTCAGCCATATTAAATGTTTATATGGTACAAAATGTAATATTCAGAGTTCATGGTCAGTGATTTCTTATCAATTTAAGCTGTCATGAACCACCTGCTTGTTTCACATCGCAAAGACTCCAATATTGGCATTATTCTTCCCACGTATTACCTATCCTACAGTGTCCCCTGGAGAATATTTAAAAAAAATAATTCTTAAAAAGAAATAGCCATATCAAAGCTAAAAAGAACTCTCCCTAAGTATGTTTAATTTTAAATTATAAATTTAAAAACTAGGGAGACTCAGTTCTTCTGGGTCCTAAGGAGGCACTAAGAAGCTCAACATTGTCTTTGTTTAAAATCAATGAAATTACTCTTCTGTATTCCTCTTTCTTGTGTTAAGGTTAGTTGGTCAAATAAAATTGTAGGGTAAAAACTACCCCTTAAGATTTTTCCACTTTAACTATTTTATGTTTGTCAGTGATGAGACCATTCAACCTTAATTATTTTGATTGCCTTGAAGCAGGGTAGATGTTTCTTAGAAATAATTTGCATGACCAAACTTATGTTAGTTAAATGGTTATACATAGTTTTATTACAAATTTCAAATATTTTACAAATAGGACTTCAGGTTAAATACTGAGCCACTCCCAAACATTCAGACTGTTTAAATAAGGCTGATAAAAAGGACAGAAGCCACATGTAGTGGTGCTAATTGATAAAGTGGGGAATTAAAATCATGCCCATAATGAATAAAATCAATAATAGTAATAATGATAACAAAAAATAGCATTATTATATGTATTATTATTATTGCTATTTTTTTTTTGAATGTATCTAAAACTAAAACTTTTTTTTTTTTTTCAAAATTAGCAATCCTCTTACATTGTTTGATATTTTTTTGGGAAGATGTTTGTGCTATTTCCTTTTGGAAAGAAACTTATTTGTGAAATAAAGCAATTTAAATCTAAACCGTTCCAGGACATAAATATTCCAGGATTTATCTGAATATGAAAAACATAAAATTTTTTTAAAATCTAAATACGTCATTTTTTTCTTGAAATAAATGCATTTGTTCTTGAATTTAGGAGGTAAGTGACACACTTTTTCAATAGAACAAGACAATTTACATTTAAAATAAGAAAAAAAAAACAATTGCATTGTCTTATTTCAAGTGCATATTATCTAATTACTCTTATCTTACCAGTAAAAACACTTACATTATTTAGCAACTCAAATTAAGGGTAAAAACACAGTTTTATATATTTATAGATTATTATTGCAGTTAAACTTAGTGAAGGATGGAAAAAAGATAAGGATTTTTTTGTTTTTTTTATAGACCTACCTTGTCATTGACCAGTAACTCGATAGGGTTGTTCCCCCATTCAATGAGAACTATCTCATTTGCTTGGCCTGGCACACCATAAGAGAAAGGGGTTCCTATGCCCGGACTGGCGCTTGACTTGAGCCACATGCAAACAGTGAAGGCATACATTTCCGGAAGGCTCTTCTTGATGCGTCCATAGAGATAGTTGGTTCGAAGAGGAAGAGACACCTTGAAGTCCTCTGGAGACTTGAAGGCGTTATTCGCTGTAGGCAGATGAAAATCATGCCATTAATCATAAACATTCTGTGCCTAATGCTGAAGACTAAAATGCAACATGTCAATGGATGGTTACACAAAGGAGAACCGTCTGTGGTTCCTCTAGAAAACATAATTTAATCACCAAGAACAGTACCTGAATAAAAAAAAAAAATATAATGTTAAATTATAACAATGAACAGATCCTTAACTTTGTGTTTTGTTAATTTTTCTCCCTTTAAATCCTTAATGCAAATTCTTCCAGAGCATTTTTTCATCTAATAGTACAGAATAATTTGTTAATTTGCTAATACCTAACATTTTGACTTCTTCAAGAAATTCATATGTTACATAACTATCCCTAAATGGAAAAAAAGTCCTTAACCACGCTGTTACCAATACCACCTTTTCATTAGATGTACAACCATTGTATTACACAATACAGTAACTTGTTTTCTGAAACTATATTATGTCTGTTTTTAATCAAATAGTTATTTTAGGCTAAATTAGTAAAATTCTGCTCTCTGAATTGCCAATAGGATTTTTCTGTGGACAGCAATCAGCCTGCAAGGTTCTTCTGACAACACCATTTTGTTCTTTCTTTGCAGCTGTGTCCACTTTTGCTTTCTGTGTCCTTCTGATGTTAGACTCATCAACAATATCCAATATGACAGAGGGATTTAAATGTTTGGATGTGATGTATCAGTGAATCTGTGACCTCATCCAATCAAAGTTAGTTTTGAACCCAATTAACACACCTCAGTAAATAAATAACTATGGTCTAAACAGACCTTGTTTGACAAAGCAGTAGGGATACCGGTATTTTAAAGCGCACAATTTGTTACATTATGTCATACTATATTTGAAACACAGAATCCTATTCCAATAGGTGAAGATATATACTGTAAATAAGATGATTGTACTTGTAGTACTCTCATCTAAAATGGAGAAGTAGGACTCATCTAAGTTATTTGTTTAACTGGGTTGTCCTTGTTTAGCATCTTTAACTTGAACTTATTTTAAGTGTTGTTAAATGTACATTTCTTGTCTGATGAAAAAAAGTAAATACAGGGAAAAATAGATAGCTTGTTTTGTCAAAGAACAAGCAAATAAAGTATAAACCACAGTAAAACAACTGACTGTAAAAGGAAGACCATAATTTAATTACTGTAATATAGGCTACTTAGTTTAACCTCTGATTCCTAAACAATGCAGTATTTGTAGTCAAATGATAAGGATTTATGTTAGTACTATTTTCTCAGTCCCTTTTTAAACCTAAACATAATGTTTTAAAACCTGCCATTACTAAAACACAGATTAATGCAAGTCTTTCAAAGCCCTGCACAAGATTAAAAGTGTATGCACGTCAGGTTTATCCTCCTCTGATATCAGTGTTACAATGCATACAAAACTGTGAAAAAGTACTTGCTTATTCATAAATTTTGGTTGCAACTTTTTTAAACTCATGAAAAAAGTGATGAAAAAAACAATGTACTTTTATTTAGATCATGCTTTTATTCATTAAGGGGGAAGTTATCCAAGGCAACATGGCTCTGTGTAAAAAAGTACTAGCACTCTAAACATAGTAACTGTTTGAACCCCCCTTGCTGGCAACAACTGCCATCGAGTGTTGGCAGTCAGTCAGTCTGTTAGGATTTTTTTAACCATGAACAGTCTATTTAAGGTGACTCCACAGAATCAGAGCAGGGTGATAATATGGAGCTGCTCTGCTGCACTACAACTACCATATTTGGCTGTAGGAATGAGTTGTTTGATTTTTTTCTCAGATGTGTTGATTTTTTTTTAGATTTTTGTGCAGTATTGGTCTATATTTGAAAGTCCCCTGATAGGAAATGGAATTGATAGACAGGGTAAAATATATGCCTCAGAGGTCATCCAGCAAGGACTTATCAATCATGAAGGCTGCATTGAGGACCATGGCCTACATATAGTACATGGGCTGCATACATTTACCCCTGCACCAATTCTGTGCATAACATCATATCTGCACCAGTAATGGGGTTATGCCTGAAGTAATTGTATATGCACGATACATAAAGATCTGATTTTTGTATCAGTAGTTTTTAAAAGCGTTTGGAATCATACCGTACCAATGTTTTATGGCTAAAAAAAGAAAACATTTGTATGGTTTGGGTCAGCAGTGCTTTCAACCTATTGATTTAAGAAAAGCAGTAAGATAAATAAACCATGTCCATGTGCAAAGTGAAGCCTTAAACTCAGTCACTTTCAATGCAAAGGTCGTGATCTAAAACAAACTTGACATGGAAACGTGCAGTCCCTCAGGTCAACTTAGACTCATGTTCACAATTTTGAGGAAGGAGTAAAACAGCCACACAGAAAGTGAAATGCAGAACTGAAGCTAGCTTAAGTTCTTCCAAATGTATAATATCACTTCACACAAAACCTTAATCACAGATTGTTGTCATCATAAGCATCAAACATGATAATCATTATGTAATTCAACCTTGCATTTGTAAAATCTACACCAGGGCCATTCAAATAAAAATGGTAGATGAGCAGCTCTAATTCTTAATCAAAATGCATGTAATGTGTAAATGTGTTCTAACAATCACATTCCTCTCCCCAACCGGGTGAGTCGTACCACAGATTACTACATACATTTACCAAGTTTTTAGACTTTTACCCTGATTTCTGCAGACATTGTAATACCTCTGTGACACATGTGCATAATTGTGCACGATAGATGGTACTTTGCTGGAGGAAACTTTTCAGGAATCACCAAGGCTTTGTGACCCATGATGATGGCTGGTTTCTCAGCCAGTCAGACTCCCTACAGCACTGTTCTTGGATCTATATGCTGAACAGGATTCAGTATTAAAGAGGCTGACCCATTGGACCTATGCCATCCCTTTTTATCAGAGGGTCAGCACACAAATCTAATGTCTGAAAAATCAGAAGGGTAGCTGGATGTACGATTCTAAAGGAATACAAATACATATGGATAACCTGTATTTTATAAGATTTTTATATATTTTTTATTAGATATTTATTTATATGATATATTTAACTCTCCTATATATTATATTTATCTATCTTTATTTTACAATTATAGTTATATTGATACATTTTTTAAGATAAACAAAAGAATGGATGTAGCATTAAATCACGGTTTAGTAAAGAACCAAGACAATACAGATATCTAGAGAGTTGAGGAAACATCTAAATTAAAAAAGCTACGGTTAAATGTGAGTGTAGAGGGATAAACATAAGATGGAGCCTTGTGCGCACACTTGTGCACAGGTCTGCTTTATCAAGGAAATTATCGTTTTTACAAGTGTGCAGGATTTGATAAATCTGAAATATCTTCTTCATACATCCACTTTTATAGAAGAGTTGGTGTCCAAGTTTAATTAAGAATAAATCATTAAGCGTTAAGATAGCTATTTCACAATTGTGGCCAAAAAACAGCTTCTGATATAATCCTGGCTCAGTATTTGCAAACTCTTATTATCAGAAATGAATAAGTTTCTCTAAATTGGTTGATCTCCGGACACACCCCCAGCTCTTAAGGCAGGCAGGTTACTTTTTTTTATTTTTTTATTTATAAAGCCCCTCATAGGGGCTTGGCAATTCAAAGTTCTGCATGTGAGCAATCTCGACAACTGAGCCTGCCTGTCCCCGTTCTGATCCGTTTGCCTTTTCTGTCTTCGGACTCTCTGCCTGTTTGTGTACCCAACCTGGAACTGTTACTTGATTCTAGATTCCCCCTCTGGCACCTCTTCGGACCTCTGATCTCCTCGCTATGAAAACCAAACATGTCCTCTGGATTATCCTGCCTGTCCTCCGACCACCAATACTTCAGCGTTTGGGACTCTCTGTGCAGCGACCGCTGCATCGCATTGGCAGCCGACCATTTGGAACCATTGTCACCCTCTGGGCTCGGACTGAATTAAGAAAGACCAGGTTAGTGACTCAGGTTTGTTATCGTCCACTTCCAGAAAGATGTGGTCAGAAACCTGTTGTCTCCTGCTGCAGAGGGTCCTGCCTTAGACACATGCGCTACTTACTGCGGATCTATTTCCATAAAGTTTTGAGAAATCTGTTTGTCTGCCTCGAAAACTGGATCCTATTGTTCTTAGCTTGACAACCAGCTTCTTTCAAGAAATGCTGTCAGACACCATGTTGACTTGCAAAGGGGAATTTGACCGTTCATCACATAAGTCTGTGGGTCCATTTCTGCCTCCATGTATACTTCTAACTTTGTGTAGATTTGTGAAAGCTCCCAATGAGCAGAGACCAAAGTGCTGTTTCTAAAATTTAGAGACACTTGAAGTTGTATTAAATATTATAGAAGATATTAAATAAATCAACAAAAGTATTTAAAAGATATTAAAATATTTAGGTCCATAATGGATGAATGTGAACTACCCAGACACCATGGTTTTGACTCTGTTTACTACAGCTTGTCGATCAATTCTTTTCTCACAACCAAATAAATAAAAAAAAATCCGAAATATTATGTGCATATAAAATGAGTGCAAGATTCATATCGTGTAGCTTCTTTGAAAATGCTGCTCTCAATATTTCAGATGGAAAGTCTATACACTATCTCTGCACATCTCAGGGCAAGTCCAGAGAGGAGAGAAATTTGAGCTACAAAGCCATTGCAGCAGTGTTATTTGTGGGGAAAATGCGTACCTTTCTGTCAGGACAACCCAACAAATCCATGCCCCTGTTGTAACTCTCTGACATGGATGTGATGGTTGAAAAATGAACTAAATAAGACGCACAGATAGGTTCTTTAATGAAAGGCTTTTGCATCAAGATACCGTGATATTGCACATTCTGAGCAACTGAGACAGGGATAAAAAAATTTACTTCAGCCTCTAGCTGATTCTGGTAAACCCTGTTTAACCTAAAGGAAATGTCCAGTTATAGCTGAAATACACTTTTTAAGCCTTTTTTTTTCTTTAGGTGGGTATTTTTGTTATTTTGACATCCACCATAAAAGACAACCCTGAAGGATGGACCCTAATATTTTGTACTCTAATTAAGATTATTCTGCACTGCTTTCCAACCTTCCATTTTGCTTTTTAATTGTGCCTTGTCTTGGGGGAGAATGGTGGATTTTGTTTAATTGTAGTGCCAAGCTGCAGATTTATTCTACAAATAGGGAAATAAAATTCCATATAGTGCATACTGACGCAATTGAATTTACGACAGAAAAAAAGGTCATAATAAGGTAATAATAATAGTAATCCATCTGTAAATAGATGTTAAAAGGCAAATGGAAGGGGGTGAAGAACCAAGGAAAGATTAAAACCATTTATCCTTTTTCTTTTGCTTATCTGTGAGTAAAACAGACTGTGACTATCCTCAGCCGTTTATGAGCAAAAGGCATTCTTCACCCAGTATAAGTGACCAGTCTATCTGAGGGCAGTACAGAGACATACAACCATGTACACAAACACCCACAACTAAGGACAATTAGAGACAATATTTAACCCAACATCATGTTTTGTTTTTGGAACGTGTGAGGAAGCCAGAGTACCCAGAGATAACCCATGTATACACAGAGAGAACCTGCAAACTCCATGTAGAAAGACATAATAAATATCAAAAAAGCAATAGCAGTAAAATAATTACTGTGATACCAATTCTACTCAGCTTAGCTTGAATATCAACATTAATAATAATAATGGTATAAATAATTGAACAGGACCTCAAGAACAAAAAACTAATCTATTGCACCCACAGTTATGGTAGTTGCAATTTATATTATAACATATTAACATTTAATTTTACTACCATATGCTAATTCACAACTGTGTGTTTGTACCTCTTAAAATGTCCCAAGTTATATATGTGTTTGTTCATATTTCTGCATCTTTGTTTTAAGAACAACAGAAAAAACAGAAGAGCTTGTTGTGAAATCTTTTGCTCACTTAGCCCTATTAAGATGTTATTTTAACAGAACTATCATAGATATTGTTGATAAATTAATGAGGGAAAATTTAAAAATAAAAACCCTTTGGCTTCAAAATTCTACAACATCTCACAGCTCCAAATGCGTCACGCTTACTTCTCTCAAGCTCCGTGATCCTCTCCATGAGGGAGTTGAGTGCGCTCTCGGTGCGTTGGCGGTGGGCAGCAGTTTCATTGTAGAGCTGGCTCTTCTCCTCCTCCAGCTCAGCCACCTTCCGAAGGAGCTGGGTTTCCAGCGCCCCCAGACGCTGGCGCAGCAGCTCACGCAGCTCCGGTGGCAGGGGAGTCAGGGCCGAGGCTGCCCCAGCTGATGAGTTTGTGTTGGGGAGGCGCAGGCTTTGCTGCTGGGATGCACACAACAGACAGAGAGATTAGAGATACACAGACAGAGAGACAGACATTAAATCCTGTTAGCCATCAACATAGTAGATTATTTATCAGACCGCGCTGCTATCTTTTTGGCAGCATTGTCTTTAATGCATTGATTTCTAAATAAAGGCAGCATGTCCCTGTGGCAGACTCAGACATGCAATCCGCCAAACACCCATGGCTGTGTCCAAGGTATTAAAAGATAAATGTTCCCTCAGTTGACACTGATGTTTTGTTTCCAGTTTTTTTTTTTTTTTTTTACAAAAAATTCATGTGTCCATGCTATTAAAAACTGCGCTTTCATACATTACCCTGTTTTCAATCTGCAACACTCAGTCATTTGCAGACTTAGTTTTTACAGAAACTATTTTTGTGAAACTGTTGATGTCTGTATAGGGCCTTGGAGAAAAACTAAACAAAATCAACAAAAAAAAGACATGCTGCATTCCTTGAACTTTTCCTTATCTTGTCACATCCACAACTTTCATCAAACTATTGGGTTTATTTGTGATATAAAAAAAAACAGATGAAAGTCAATCAACAAACAAAACCCCATTATCAAAGTGAAAGGATATTGTACAGTTTATGTTTCCAAACCAATCTGAGAAGTTTGGTGCATTTACTCGAAATGCATTTACATAATATCCAATGGAATTTACTGCCTGTGCCACCTGTCTTTGGAAGCATAAGTAAACTGGTTAGAGCTGATGGGAAGTTGTAGGGAACTAATTACAAGGAAATCTGAAATGAGAAGTTAGTATGACTACTGACCATGTCAATGTCCAGACCCAAACCAGTTGATAACTAAGATAATTTGTAGCAAGACTTAAAAAAATGAACAAATGCACTCTATTTTCCTAGAGTTGAAGTTAATTCTTTTTTTTATAAATTCCAAAAGATGTCCATCTCCAGATGTGCTGCAACCAGCATGTGTCAGTTACACATGGATGGTGACAATAAAGTTAATCCAAAGTATGTTTATAAGAGTTGTATTCATGCAAAACATGCATAATATGCACACCCTGTATACGCTTACCATGAACTTTAGCAGGGTATTAGACATTCTGAAAATTACTGAGAAAGACAAGGGCTTAAGCACCAGAGAGGCACATCAACGATGCACATATTGTTCATGATGATAAATTCAGAGCCCATACAAGCCTTCCGCCTGTGTGTAAATACTACGCCAGGTCACCTCATTAGTGGCTAAGTGTGATCCCTGAGCCTTCCGGAGAAATTTAGAAACAGTAAAACAAGCAATAAAGAGCTGGTAGCAGTCCAAAAGTCTCAGGTGTGCAGCAAGTAAAGCACCAAAGATTTTATTTGATTTAAAAATGTTATTGCTCTACACCAACTAAAATCTAGGGACATTAATTTAATAATCTGCCATGAATAATTAGTCACACAACTGCAAATAACAGAGTGTGTGAATCCCATATAAGCAAGGGTCATACATTATTCAAGGTTGCACTGCAAATCCCTGCGCTGTTTGCAATATTTCACCTTTGACAAAATTTCTTTTTCTTTCAATAATTTCTCACAGATTAATTTTTTGTATGAAATGTTTTTTGGATTACTAAAAGCATAGTAACCTAACACACACAACATGTATCTGCTTGACCCTTCTGCATCCTCTAAAGTCTTGTCACTTAGATAGCATGGGACCAATTTAAGTAGCTGCTTATGACTTCCAAAACTACAGGGGCCCCCAAGAGCCTTAGAATCAGAAGTTGAACGAGAGAAAACTGAGTAGCTTATATTACAGTAATAAAAACTAAATTATGGGCTTTTAACGTCAATTGTTATATTATGGTTTATACTTATTTGCTTGTTCTTTGACAAAACAAGTTATCCATTTGTCCATGTATTTACTTTTTTTCATCAGACAAGAAATTTACATTTAACACCTAAAATAAGATAAAGTTCAAGATGCTAAACAAGGACAACCCAATTAAATGAATAACTTAGATCAGTCACACTTCTCTATTCTACATAAGGATACTTCAAATATCCTTATCTAAAAACTGGACATAAGCTTCACGGCAAGATTTGCAGAAAAGAAGATTAAGCACTTCAGGAAAACTACAACTGTGAGGCCTCATATTACCAAGCATAATGTAGAGCAGTGGTCTCCAACTCCAGCGGCCTGTACCACGAAGCAGGATCACTGGGTAACTGACACAACTGCAGGTCTAACCCTGACTTTCTGGTAACACAAAGCTGGATTCATCCTTGCCAGTGTAGTTACCATAGTAACTTATCCTGAACGGCAAACCTGCTCCGGGGCTCCAGGCTAGCTTTCAAGATTGATCTGAACAATAGAAAATGCTAGACCCGGCAGCCAATAAGCTGGCTTGGAAACAATGATGTGTTCTTTGAGTGAAGACTCGATTTAATTCAAGAGGGGAAAAGAACTTAAACAACACAACATCACAGTGAAAGTACACAATGACAATTACTTATATGTGAGACACAGGTTTCCATGGGCCTGACTGGCATATATGCCAGGTCCTGGAACCACTTGTTGGTTGTGCGACCCCCAGCAATGTGGCCCTCACTGTATCACAGACTGTACGTATGGCCATGCGATATTACGGAAGAGACAGCTTCATGTACACCACCGGGCATGCTGGGAAGATCACAAAATGACAGTCTGTTGGGCTGTCAGTCAAGTTTCCAGTGCTCTGATGCAGTTAAAGAGCTGAACAAGGATTTTAGCTGAACAAGGATTTCTGTGAAATTTCATATTGACTACATTACGAAAATCGTAAATATACATATGTATATATATATATATATATATATATATATATATATATATATATATATATATATATATATATATATATATATACTTGTTCTGGTTTGCTGTAATAGAAAAATTAGATGGGTAAATCATCTAGTTTGCTGGTAAGATAAACCGGCAGTTGAAAAAAAAGTGAAAAGCTCAAAAATCAGGATTATTTCACTCAGACTGATCTCTTCCTGTATTAATATGATGCAATCGTGGCATCAGCTTCCAGCTATATTGTAGCTCAAATACAGTATTATTGAATTAAAAAGTCCCACTAACCAGTTGAAATTATGTTAGTGTTTTATTTTAATCTGCTACCAAGTCTTCTTCATTCCAGAGGGGTATGTTTTTACTGTGCAGTCCAGGCATTGTGATGCATGACTGTTTTAAATGACACTGATCTGTAACTTGCCCTAGATGTCTAGTCATTTGGCATCTTTTTTTATTCCCCCGCGTGTATGACTTTTCATTTAGACTTTGTTTTTCCCTCTTTGTATTTGTGTAAGATGAGTTTTTGTCCTCACAGGCACTCTCCCTTCTGCACTCATGATTGCGATTGGTCTGCTACCTTAACCCCACTCCTTTATGCGTGCATGCCACAGATTCATTATCAGTCAAAGCTGGATTGAGTTAGCGAGTCTATAACAATCTTTGTGGTACCACTGATCCTGATTGCCATTGTGATTGGTTTTATTTGACAGACTCGAAGTGAAACCACTAGGTTTAGCTCTCTTTGTGGTAGGAGCCTCAGGCCTCAAGATCCTGCTATAACACAACTGATTAAAATTATTAATTATCTCCTCAGCATAGCATCAGGTTTGTTAAAGACCTGATGATGACACACTGATGTGATTCAGGTTTGTTGAAGCAGAGCTGTACCTGCAGGGTAGTAGATCTCGATGCCTAGAGTTGGACAGTACTGACTTATAGTCCATTCGCACTGTTGAAAAACCTGTTCTAACCCAGGAACCATCAGCTTTGAGTGACAGCAGGAACTGCTCAATAACCCGCATCGATCTGGGTCATATGACTCTGCAAGAAACCTTGATTGAAATTGCCTTCAAATGGCTTGGCTCTGATTGGCATACAGTGGGAACATCAGACCCAGGTTGACCAACTAATTTACATGATACATAAGAGCGCAACATCTGGATGTCTACACATTGTGCCAGTCCTCTCTCATTAAGAAGCGGAAACTACTCTGCTTCTATTCGATAAACATGGGGGAGCAAAGCTGAGAGGAATTCAGACAGACAAAAGAAAGAAACGGCGAAGAACATTTACTACGCCCTGGCTTCCTTCCAAGTTGCTCTCCAATGTTTACTTTCCCAATTTCTGTCACACTGGTGACACCATCAACACTAACCCGGCGTGATGGCATCATCAGAAATCCAGCAAAGGGGGAACAGAGGCCATGCAGCTTGCCAACAGGGGCCAGACCCAGCCTTTTTTGCCAATGGGAAGGGATCAAAGTGTCGCTTGTTAGTGGGTCAACCCGGTGTTTGAAAAATCTGTGTTAACCCACTAATTTCAGTGGGAAAGAGGCTTAGAGAGTTAAAGGACTTGGAGCAAAGTTAGCTACTTGCAGCAAACTAATGCACATTACAGTCCTACAACAAACTCTATGATAACTCTGGGCAAAAAAAAAAAAAAAAACTAAACAAAAAAACAAGTGTATCTGCTTCATCGCAAAAGACTTTGGTGAAGAGCAATGGCTAATCTGTCTGCTGTAACAGTGAAACCAATGTCTGTCAGGCCATCCTTATCCCCAATGACAAGAGCCTCATGAACATGTGATGCACTGACATCAAGGGCAACCAAGTATTTTGTGACATTCACTGTTACCTGTATAACTGATATCTGGCTGGCAGAATCCTGTATTTTGAGATCTCATGTAATGCACAAAATCAATGCAACCATAAATGTTTATGCTATTTTCTGATGAATGGAAGGTAACTGTTGCTGAACTGGTGATTCTGACTGATAATGCCCCAGCAATCAGAATCTAATCTAATCAAGAAACACTGAGAAGTTCCTACCCCTATTGGTCAATCATGCACAGCAATACCTTGGTTATGAAAGCAGGTATTGTGAAACAATAAGTTACATAAATAGCAGAAACAAAATAAATTCACCAACTACATGATGTTTCTTAATAGTTGGAAGCTTGAAGTTCTTCCAACTCTCAACATAGATGGCTGTGCTAGGGCTAGACTTGATAAAACACAGTGTAAAAGACCAATAGATGAAACTGTTCTTCAAATTAGCCTCTTTACCTTAGCAACTTTGGTCTGATCACAGAGATCTTGATTTTTAAATAATATATGAACTTATTTTTATTTGCAAAAGTTATTTTTTTGTGTGCTGTCATAGCTTTTTATGTACACAACAGGGGGCAGATGGTTACCTATACATGTGCCAGGGCAGAGTTGCTCTACAAAAAGGATATCTCAGGAAAGCATGCTAATTAGATAGCTTTACAAAAAAAAAAAAAAAATAGATTCAATCCAGCATTGAAGTGGCCAGGCAGAACAAGGTTAGAGTATCTTTGTATGTAGGTTGGAGTGATTGTGAGTCAGGTTGCAGGTGTGTGAATATGTATCTGTGAATTGGTGAACATATGTATAGAAATAAATGTGTTTTTGTTGATGTGAATGCAGTTTTATAACCTGGAAGTATATGTTTGCAAATGTGGGGAAAAGGTAAAGGGGCTGCCATCTGAAGCACCTACAGCAGCATGGAGGAGGTAGAAGACAGCAGCAGTCTAAGGCCGCCAGATCCAAAGCATTACCTCAGGGCAGCCATAGGGTCAGTCCTGAACCCCAGCAGCTAGACCACACACCAAGAAAATGTAGTTTGCCCCTTACAACCCCAGACACGCTTGCCACAGCTATCTAAACTCGAAAAGATCATGATATTCAATGCCATGGGAGACCAGTTACTGAGAGCTTATGAGGGAGAGATGCCCATTCAATGAAAAAAACAATGCAACCATTTTTGTAATCATATTCAATTCCATTAACACATGTTTTTGCTATTAGCATGGTAGGACATAAAACAATTGCGGTAAAGTAACTAAATATGATTATGTAGACACCAAGGACGGTTGCATTATTTTTTTCAGTAATCCCTTAGTGTAGCCACCAGCTAGTTCAACACACCTCTTGGGGCGACAAGTCACTAGGTGGAGCAACCCCACCCAAGCACCATAGACAAAACATCCTACACAGGCAGAGGCTGTATGCTGGCCATCTGCAGGCCATCCCACACCCCCTGTTTCTGCTGTATCAGCTTTAAATCCACAGTTGGAGCCAGAGAAAAGCATGAATTTGAGCCACTGAGCAGAAGTTTAGTTCTTTTCTGTAGTCAAGGCTTGATACCGAAGATGTTCAGAAATGGCCAAAATTGAACTTCAATGTCATTAATTAATTAATTAATTCATGCTTTTAATCTCCTCTAAATGTATCAGTGAGCTTTACTCCACAAGCCTCTAACACACTTTTTCCCTCCATTAAACTTTCCATTTGATATGTCATAATGCTTGATCCTTAGAAAAGAAAAAAACCTTCTTAAGCAAGGATCTTTGATATCTTACCTCTTTTTGGGGGCTGTTATGTGCCTGATGGACTACTGTTAAATCACCAGTCTTTCCCACGGTCATGTAGGGCACAGCATGCCCATTACATTCATATGAAGAAATCCTACATTAAAATGGTCGCTTGTCCCAACTTTGTTGAATAAAAGGTTTTTGGGTAAAAAAAAAATCACTAAATACTTGGTATAAAGTATGTTTCATTTTTAAAACACAGAATTAGGTTACTAAAACAACATTTTGTTCATATCTATTGTGGCAAACCTGAGAATTTTTATTTCTTTTATAAAATGGTGGATTTTTATGTCATCTTGTTGCATGCCTGTGCCATCTTACCTCTAGATTTTCCAGCCGACCCTTCAGGGTCTGCATGGTTTTGCCAAGTTGGTCTATAGTGTCACTGGGGTCCCGGGGCAGGTCTCCCATGGTGTTCTTCCCGTACTCTTTGCGTCTGGAGCCCTGACCCCGAGGCTTACTCTGAGACATCTCATCGGCTGCTGCCTCGCAGCGCGCCAGCTTAGAGTTGAGCTCTTTAATGGTCCCCTGTTGGCTCACGATGGTCTCCTTCTGTTGCAGGATAGTCTCCCGAAGTTGGATGATGGTGTTGCGCAGCTCGTCCTCCACTGGGCTACTGCTCTGAACGCGGTTCCCTGCGGGGCCGTACCCGCAACCGGGCTCTGCGCCCGGGGGGATGGCGTTACACACAAAGCGGCTACCTGTTAAGTCTTGGCTTCCCACCGTGCGTCCACTGACCAGGTACACAAGTCCCAAAACTAAAGCCAGCATCTTGGATAAAATGGTTGATCACTAATCCTTTTATAAATAGAAAAGCAAAAATCTTAACTGGAAATCGCCAGTATTTATATAATGAACTTTCAGAACAAGTGTGTTAAATTAATAAAAATAATAATAATAATAATAATAATAAATCCAAAGTGCTAGAGGGTTAAAAAAATCTTAAATTTAAAAAACGATATGGAAGAAAAAATCCGCAGTAAAAACCCATAGTATTAGTCGTCCATCAAACACATGGTCGGTCCGCTTTAGAATATAGACACCAGACAAAAAAAAAACAAAAAAACCCAACCAAATCATCCAGCATTTAAATCTCACATAAACCTGATTTTATTTCTCTAAAGTGGGAAAAAAAAGAAAAAGAAAAGTTGAAGCCTGTGGTTTTTTTTTATCTCCAGCAATACAATCCTCCGAGGTTGACAGAGAACCCAGCTGTGCCTGTCTCTCCTCTGCTCTCCGGTTCGTTGGATTGTCAGTGAGCGGTGCTGAAGAGACAGCGACGGCGCTCAGCAGATTATTATAGGGGAGGTGCGCACTGGCGCTTCCGCTCATCACTTCGTGCGCTCCGGTTATTCAGTCTCAGCCTGCGTCATCCACCGAATCCCAGCGGATCCAAGTCATGCTATGACATGCTTTAAGTACATCTCATTGACTTTATGTGAACTCGTAAATGCTGAAAATGACAAGTGTCAAAGAAAAAGAGGACTCTATAACCCCTCCACCTCCAGCCATGCCCCTGAAAAAAATGTTGTTTTCTGTCCTTGAGCGCCTTAATAATGCTAAGTTTGCATGTTACACTTTTAATTGCTAGTATTTCAACCTTTCCTAGTAATGGGTTATAAAGCAATTCCATAGGGTTTGACCATTTCATAGAGCCTTTTGAATAATTTATCAAAATACAAGTAGGCTATAGCACTTTTTCCTCCCTCCATCTGTTTGTGGAGAACTAACACTGCCCTTCACCACGTTTTTGCATCCCCACTGATGGAAATACATTAGTGATGGCAGCATCATCCTGCAGGGAGGCCTTTCTCATTTCAGACAGGAATCTGGTAAAATTGGGAGATAAGGTGCTTGAGGTGGGAACAGACTTAAGACTGGGAGAGAGGATCACCTTCCAGCAGCAAGACTCCCAAAACATGCAGCCAGAGGTGAAATGAAATGATTTAGAGCATTCATGTGTTACAATGTTCAGTCCCGGTATATAGATTTTAAAACCTTTTTGACAACATTTGGTGGTTTAACTGAACAGCTTCCTCCCTACATTCTTTCTGAGCCTGAGCTACAGTATATGTGAAGGGTTGCTTAGAACTGCAACACTGGTAGGCGGGCTGCCTGAAAAATATTTGCAGTTCTGATTGCATTAAAAGGAGGTCCTACGAAGTAATTACTTTGGGTGTTGAATGCAAATTACCAATTTTGGTTGTGAAAGATATTAAAGTTACGTATACTTTTATTTAATTTCACAGTTATATGCCTCTTTCTGCTGGTTTATTACATTAAATCCCAATATAAAAAATGCTGCTGGATAGATCAGTGCATTATCAAACCCATGATTCAGTCTGCTGATTCTGTGAGTTAAGCCAAGATCTTGTTTTGCCAACATAAAAGAACTAAAAATGAGATGGAGATTTATCCTGCAATCAATTTAAAGCTAAATCTTTATTTTTTCAGACAGAGGTTCACAAATCCTAATTTCTTTGTTAGTGTCAATTTTGGGTTAAAGGGGGTCTTTTCTTTTCTAAAAACATACAAAAAACCTCCTACCTTTTTTACAAACTCTATCTTACCTTTTGCCATTTTTTTTAGGATCAGCAATGATCCAAAATAGGTTCAAAACTATCCATCCATCTATTTTCTAACATGCTTATCTCGAGTGAGGTTTCGAGGGGTGCTGGTGCCTATCTCCAGCAGTCATTGGGAGAGAGGCGGGGTACACCCTGGACAGGTTGCCAGTCCATTGTAGGTTCAAAACTATTTATTCTTAATGAAATACCAGCAAACGTTTTGTGTCATTGTTAATTTATTTGAGTTCATTTTTTTTCTAAAGGAAGAATATCTGTAAGTTTGATGAAACTAGATTTGGGAAAATCCTTTCTTGTCTATTTTCATCTGTTATTCTGTCACAAACCGTAAACTTTATCATGTGGTGAAAAAGGTGGCTTAATCTGCCAGCTACAGACATTTTGTATCCATTTTTTTCTCTCCAATATGCTACATTTATGTGTAAATGTGTGACGCTCTGAAAACCGAGGTCTCAAATCCTTTTCAAACTGGGATTCTTTTCTCCACACCAGGAGAAATCCCTCTGTAGTGACAATGCATGCGATGTACATGATGATCAGAAGGCATCCTAATGATGTATTTCATAAATCTGTAAGAAAATATTTGACAATGACAGATGAAACCATTAGCTTCTTTCACAATGAGACACATCACAGCACCGTTTGATTTGAACTCCTGTCATGTTTCCTAAAACTGAGACAAGGCAGCAGCTGTCTGTCAGAAATCTTGCAAGAACTGTGGAATGTGGAAAACTTCAAAGTAAGACTTGCTCTTCATTCAGTGAGGGATCTGTACTCAGCATGACTGTCATCTAGTAGAGAGATTTTCCCTCCCATAACTACCTCATCAATCTTTATTTCCTCAGTATATTCTCTTAAAACCTTCCTCCATGGGACTGTGACAGCCCATGGCATTTTTTGAAGAATTACCACGCTGCCCATCAAGGCCCATCACCTCAAAATCTCCTAAAAAATTCTTAACAGCTAAATGTCAACTGGAATTAATACACAGTCTGCGTACAATGGGGCGCACAGAGCCAGACAGGAAATGGCCAGTGAAGTCGCAACGAAGGGAAGCAGCTTTGGATATGGCAGGTCTCATGGCAATGGGGGGCACATATTCACCATGGTTACCTTACCCCACTCTCACCCCCTTTTCCCGCTGCCCTTAAATCCAGCATCATCAGCGAGGAAGTAACTGGCAGAGGTGAAAAAGGAGACGTGCTGAAGACTGAGCAGAGATGACAACTTTCACTTCAAAGTTGATGGGATAAAGTTATTTCCTTTCATGTTGCAACTGGTGAGCGTGGGGAGAAGGAACTTTACTTTCTTAAGCGCTTCGGGGAGGGTTAGGATGTCAGCAGGGATTGAACTCTTATCCTACACTGAGTTTCAACCATCCAAATTAATACGTGTCAAAACGGGGTTGGTTTTCTTGCAGCTTTACGCGAGGTGATCAGGATTTCTGCTTTCGTTTTGATTCCCACAGTTTTCATAAGAATAAAACTGAAATATTATAGTGGAACTCAATAGATATCAATTTATATATTACAAAGTGCATAAAAATGAAACCTATTTTATTAAACTATAACAAAATGAAATGTTGTATCTTTAATTTCCAACAACATCATCAAAATTTACTAAAAGTTGAGAAAGGTTAGAACCTGCAAGCATTAAAAATTTCAGGTATTGTAATTTAATCAGCTCTACCAAGAGGTCTGAAAATGATCCATTTTCTAACTACTTGCACAACTGTCGAACAGAAGAACTTTAAGTTAGTTTTTCATTAAAATCCAATTTAACCGTTCCACTCTGTTTCATTGCTGTTTGGACTTTTTCAATTTAATGATTGAATAGCATGATTTTAAAAAGATATTGGAGGAAGAATGTCCATTTGAAATTATTTTTCATGTTTTGATGTGAAGCGGAACACAGGCTCCGGAAGGAGAAAGGCAGGAGCATAATAAACAGATTTTTAATGAAAACAGAAATTTATAGGCACAATGAAAAAATGCTTAAAGCACAATGGCAATGAGGAGCAACCAGCGAGGCATGAGGACATTAACAGGAGCAGTCAATACATTTTCAGCAAGAATAGAAAATATTGTTCTCCTCAGTCAGTTTTTTTTTTTCTTTTAAGGAATCAGGCAAATAATTGCTTTTGCAGCCCTTGTTTGGGAGATCCTGCAGCTTTTTCTAGACACATCATTTTGTAATAATCCTTACAGCCAGTGTGTGAGTGGTCAAAAATGTAAAGCTGGCTGCACAGTCGCATTCTTATAAGGACCTTGCAAGATTTGCACACTAACGTTTCTTGTGACGTATAGGCAATATTTTGTCGTAAAAATAGTCAATTGTTTTTCTCCTAACCTTGCAGACAAATTAAAAGCCCTGAGAAAATGACAAAGAAGAAACCAGATGATATATACTAGGTGGAGACATTACCTGAACGAGTAACATCTGTTGGGGTGCTTGAATTGAGCTACAGTGTACACCTTTTGACTAGTCTGCATCACAGGCAGAAGTAAAGACAAAGAAATGTGGGAAGATTTTTTTCTATAGGATTTTCCAATTTTAATATTAGTCACACTAATAGTGGACGTTCAACACGCTTACCAGTGGATCATGTCCCAATTGGAGTTGTTTGCAAACCGTAAAGGATAAAAAATAAATCCAAAAAAGAGTAAGAGTGTTATGGTTCTTATTTTTTGTGACTCTGAGTTTTCAGTTTTCTGTTATCAGTTGTTTTGTTTTTATTTTCCATGATCTTCAAGCATTCTTTAGTTACTCTCTGTTGCCCCCTTGTGATTGTTTTTTTTCCCCTTGGATTCCCTCTTGCCAGTTCCGCCCACACCTGCTCCCCATTCAGCTCGTTAGTCCATCCTTTTGTTTGGTTCTCCTTAAATACTCCACCTCTGCAGTCACTCAGTGCTGGTTCCTTCTCGTTGCTGTATTGTCTACTCTGCTCGTCTCTCCCCGGCTCGTCAGACTCGTTTTTTCCCTGATGTCTCCATGTTTTTGGTTTGTTTAATATTTTAAGTTGGATTTTTGGATTTCTGCCTCTGCTACCTTGGTCTGCCATTAAACCTCTCAGAACTCATCTCTGCTTCACTCGTCTCTGCATCTGGGTCCTCAAGCAACCTCACCACCCATCGTTGACAAAGAGATGAGAAAACAAAAACAAAAAAACTAAGTCTAATTTTTTCAGAACATGACAACTTAGCATAAGAAAAATTTCATGAATTAAAAGGAATGACTAAAGAAAGATAAAAAAAATCCAAGAATCTGATAAAATGAAA